TAATGACCCTGGCGTTGTTTGTTCTTGTTCTTTCTAATATCATATGCAGGGAGGACACGCCCCCGTGTGGTTCATAGCGGTATATAGTTTATGAACCAACAGTCTGGTAGTAGTCATTGTAGAATGGAGTGACCAAATGATGGCCAAAAGGGGAAATAATCTGTTCAAATATCATTGACATGAGCCACACAGATAAACTAGAAAGAGAACACACCTCTGTTTTAACAAGAGTAAACAGACAGAAAAGGCATTTTCTTCATTAGAATGAAGAAAAACTGACAGCGTTGCGAAAAAGCAAGAAAATATGTTTGAGTATGTCAAAGCCAAAAGGCATATCCAGCCATGGAGAAACTCTGTGAGATGTCGTGACTTGAGGACAGCTCGTTGAACCTATTCACTTCTTTTTAAAATGATTAATGATTTGTAATATATCAGTGAACCTAGTTAGCCACCTTATATGTAATTCACTTTGTTTATTAAAACCTAATTGATTTGATTTGATTTGTAACAAATTGTGTAAATCCATTTTGATATTATAACATGGTGGTTTTGTACATTAGAATATAATTATAATATTTGATCGATGTGATACTCAATCACAATCTAATGTGATATTGTGATTGAGTATCACATTGAGCAAATCCTTTCGGAGCTAAACAGAATGTTTTTGGAGCGCAGCCCTTCTGTTCTCGTAAGTATAGGACAGTAAAAGATAAAGCTCCCCTCATGCTTGATTTCCCCTGAGATCACACACAAAACAATGTGGAGTGGAATAAAACATGCCAGTGTCTGGGCAATGTTTACCAGTGTAACTGTGCCCAGTAGGGATATTTGTCTGTTGTTGAAGTTGCTCTTTCCTTCTGCGCTATTGTTATTCTCTATATGAGACAATATATTTCTCACTTTCATATATACCATAAGTGAACAGCCAATGGTTATCCATGCATGAGAAATAATGTGGTCCTAATTTCTTTACTATCACAAATATCACAAATCACTCAAATCAAACAATGGATATGTCATTTTTAGTCCAGTGATGGCCATGTAAAATGCAAATATCTCTTTAGTTCGCTGGTGATCAGACGTCTTAACAAGTTTATTTCAGTCAAAGCATTTGAAAAGGGCATAACCACCAATGGCCAACATCTCCATAACTATTATCCATATGCCTTGGTTTTTATAGTTTGCATGTATTTATTTTTTTACCTCTACAATAGAAAAATCTGCATTCACAAACTAGTACAATGATTTGCATCAGCTTTAAATTCAGAATCCATTACCTCTTCTAAACTTTAAACTATACTTTAAAAATACTTCATCAAAGGAAAAGTCCTTTCCACATTTTGCATAACAGTTTTACCACATCCGAGGACGCAGTACATTCTTAGATGTGGTAGAATGGATCAAGCACAAGGTGTCAGTAGAGTAACAAAGACAACAGCTGTGCCTCAGTTTACAGAAGGGACCCGTGGAGCTGGGACTCTTGTCTGTTATCGTTATGTTTTGTCTTGTGTGTTTCAGAGGATAGCAGAAGAATTTGTTGCAAGGCTGATTGTGGGTCTGAGAGAAGAAAGACGCATGTCAGAGAGTGGAGCAGATTAAGGGAGAGAGAAAAAGGCCAAGGATCCAACAAAGACAAAACCAAAACTGGGATACAAACTATCTGACGTGACAATGAAGACAGCTTAGGTGAAAGGGAATGGGGTGATCAGGAAAGGAGTCTATGGGAAGAACTAACGAGGCTAATTCCAAAAAGGTGTGGAGAATTGCAAAGGAGGGAGAGGCAGTACAGGAACGCCAGAGGAAAAACACCTCTTGGTAGACCAGAAATAAGAAGTACACGTAGTCATGGTGACGTCAATGATTTGTGTATTTGGGTTTTAAAGCCACAAGTTGGCCATTTGGCCCTCTCCATCTTGGTTTTTATAAATGGAGGAACTAAATAAGTTAAGTTGCTGTAGACATATGTAAATCCACATTAGTTATCATTACTCAAAATCATTAGTTCACTAGCTTTTTTTTCATTAGTCTAAGTTTAATGAAATAACTATTTTCAGTTCAACATAGAAAAGCATTTGCCAGTCACTAATCACTAATATAACATTACTTACTGAAGATCATGCTTTTACTTACTAATAAAATGAATTATACTATTTGATTTTGAGAAAATTGTATAGAAGGAAACCAATTCAACATTAAATTTTAACATTCCAATGTGTTTGTGGTTGAATGTGGGTTTAGAGTGTTCAGAAAAAGGAGGTTGCAGCCTGATTGAAAATGTTACACACCGGCCCTTTAATGTGGCTGAAAATAACTTACAAAAATGTCCTCTCTAGGTAACCCATACCTGGATACATATCTAATAAAAGCTGGAAAATGGCCCAATAAGTAATTGAGTCAGATGAATATATTCTATGTATGGAGGGTGTATTAAACTATTTAGTGCAGTCCAAAAAAAGTTAACGCTGGGCTTCACCTCCCACAACCTGCTTGTGTCTGTTTGCATATGGTTAATGTTAGTGTGAGCACACATTAAACTTTCTGCTGGCATCAACATGTTCTTATAATGCTTATAATCCTTTACTTCCTCACATTCCTTTCCATTCATCAATGGATTTAGACACAGGTGACTCGTCTGACCCCGTACTGTACATCTAGAGCCCTAAACCACCCCCACACACACACTCCCAAAGGCGGCTCTGCCAGGCCACACGAAGAAGAGCCTGCTCAGCATGAACACATCATAAAAGAGGACATGCAATTTCTGTTTTCACCAAATAGCCAGCCGAGCTCGTTCTGCATCCGTGACTCGACAAGCAGCTTAGAGAGAGAGAGCCCTGAGGGGGGGGACGAGAGGCTGAGTCTGTGTGAACAGAGAGAGAGAGAGAGCTGTGCCTCAGAGCTCAGCTAAATCCATTTCTCCATCTGAATTATCAACTAGAATTTGATTAATATGCAAATTTGGAAGGGGGGGGGGGGGATAATTCTCTTTCTGGGTAGTAATTAATCACTGGTTAAAGTAAATTAATACATATATCAACTTTGTCAGGGACACGCTTAGTTCAATAGCCCGTAAAATTGAAGTTTGAAGTGTTAAGGGGCTCTACAAGAACGTTATAACTAAAACTTTCAAATCTGCCCTATTTAGTGATCAATCAAGCCGTTCCCTCCGGCAGAGGCAGCTTATTTCTTCAGATCCTCCAACACAAAGCTCAGGAGCTTGCTCAGCACCCACACACACACAGTGCTGCTCAGTTAAGCACACTCCTACGCTCAGCACAGCACAGGAGAGGAATGCATACAACAGCATTGGACAGCAGAGCAGAGCCCAGGAGAGGACAGCACAGAATAGGACAGGACAAGAAACTGATGCATGGAAACAATTGTATAAAGCCGACCGCTAAAACGGTCAACAGTAATAATGACAGCATTATATTATTGTAACAATAATATGCAATATATATATATAACATTGACCACAACGACAATAATAATAATACCAGTATAGTTCTTCTTAAAAACGATATTCAATTGCAATTGAGATCGTACGAAATGAACTATTCAAAACCATTTACTATAATATAACTAAAAAGTAATAATTTTCCTGATTGTAATGAAATATGGCTTTCTAATACTAATATTATTACTGTTTTTATTAAATAATTTATCAAATCAATATAATAGGTGGCTGCACTAGATAATAGTCAGGAAAACATCTTCTAAAAAACGGTTTGAGTTGATTTTTTCACATAACGTTACATTATGAAAATAACTTCAACTGTTACTTTAACATATTTGTTGTTCTTCAAACAGTGCTGAAGTCCATGGGGACTTGGTCAACAATTAAAAAAGAAAATGTGACAATACATTTAGTATAATATTGAATGAAATTACATGAAAACATTGATAATAATAATCTTACTTGTACTAAAAATGGTATGCTTGTATAAACTGTTGCTCTTGATAAAATAATGATGACAAATATATTTATTTTCAAGCGCTTGAAGTTAAATATATTAATTGTGTTGTCAGGTCCAGATGGTAGAAGCCAGTGGTTAGCCGGTCCAGCAAAATGGAAGAAGGAAAATGCCATCTCTAAAAAAGAATAAAGATCTATTTCTTTACAACAAAAAAATCTGAGCGATCATCGCTTTTAACTTAAAAGTTCCAGGAAAAAATCAGTAGGCCAGGAGTGAATTTTTTTTTTCGGTTGCAAATAGTACACATTTTTAAATGAGTATGTGTAGCCTATACATATTCAAATATTACGATGGGAATTACCGAAACAACTGTTAATTCGACAAAAAAATGAAAACGTTTGGTAGCGGTCCTCGAGCTATTGCACTGCTTTATTAAGTCACCGATAAAATACATTAAACTAATGTTTCATTTTAATTGTGTGCATGTGTATACGAATTTTCATTGTGAACAAATTGCATGCCAGTTGATGCAGAACCGATGAAGTGTGTGACCGAGAGCTATTTCATCTTCAACGGACCACATTCGAGCTACGAACGGGCCCGCTGAGCCACGCACACATTCATAGCCGCGTTTTAACGCACGTGGCTGTCGGAGATATGAACCACAAAGGGAAATGCCATGTCTTTTTACAGAACGGGTTAGGTCAATACCTTACGTTGACTCCTAATTGAGAGTAGAACCCTCAAAACCATACGGCGTCTGAAAAGACCCCGCATGGCCGCTCTTTGTGCGCCTAGACCCGCCAGGCCGGTGCACGTAGGGAGAAACGCTTAACTCCGTATTGCGCTCTGCTGGAGAGTGGCCCCAAGGGGTAACACACACACACACACACACACACACACACACACAATGGGCCTCCTGGCTCCAGATTGTGTTTCTCACAGAGAAAAAAATGAAAACACATGCAGGGGGTCGAAAGGCAAGTTTCCACTTTCCTCCCAAACGGACTTTAAAATATAAATATGACAGGGATTCCAATATTGGATGATATGCATTAATTCCACGTAATGTAAAACATATAAATGTGCAAGAAGGCCAAATATTGGACATTTTTATTATTATTGATATTATTAGTATTTTACATTTTTACAGTTGTTTGTGTTCTGTCCTAAAGGCACTTAAATGGTTGTACAAAGCATTATAAATATAGTCAAATCGGGGTTTATTACAAGATATTCGCCCGTTCTGTGTTTGGTTACCATTTTAGAACAATGACTGAGCTTATTAAAAAAATATTTGCAATTAGAGGCCAACGTCAGATCCAGAGAAAACATGATATCTCGTGTCACGGTGGTTCTGCGCAGAAGGCGCACCTGCGGGTTCGCGTCATACCATTCTGAATGGCACGCATTTCGTGTGGTCCTCCAGAAAGCAGCGGTCCTGTACGGCTTCTCTCGGTTTAAACGCATCGAGGCGGTTGTAGGTGTGCCGCGCGTCCCGCGCGTAATGGATGGAATCCGCGTCACGGAACAATGTTCTGTCCGGTAACATCGCGTTGTTTGACATTTCAAACCGCTACGCAATTATTTGTTTAGTCGTCCACGTCAATCTCCTCATCTTCATCCCCCGAACAGCACTTGCTGGTTAGCCGGTCTGTGCACCAGGACGACGCAGGCGAGGGAGGCAACATGCGCTCTCTGTTGTAGTCGAGCCCCTCCGCGTTGTCGCACCGGGACCGCGAGGAGACCGGGTCGGATACGGTCCCCCCGCCCAGAACGCCGGCCGCACACTTCTCCAGCTCGGCCAGCTTGGACAGCTTCTCGATGGCCACGGTGCCCGCGACCTTGGCGGACTCCACGTCCGCCTTCATCTCCTCCAGGTCCCGCTTGAGCTTGGCCCGCCGGTTCTGGAACCAGGTGATGACCTGCGCGTTGGTCAGACCGAGCTGCTGGGCGATCTGGTCTCGGTCCGCCGGACTCAAATACTTCTGGTAGAGGAAGCGCTTCTCCAGCTCGTAGATCTGGTGGTTGGTGAACGCCGTGCGGGACTTTCGCCTCTTTTTCGTGTTATTTCTCTGGTCGAAGACCGTCAGACCGTCCCGGCCTGGGAGGAAGACACAATTTAGGTCATCTGGGGGGGAATGCACCTGTGTTCTAAAACGATACGGATCACCAAATTATTCAGAGCTCCTCAAGTAAAATTGCTGAAGCAGAATAACTGAATTATATTTTATTAGTTTCAAGTCAAATTTATTTGAATGAATCTTTTTTGACAGATATGATATTTTTATTGTATGATAAGAGTAATATAATATGTTTGGGGCATAATTCAATATTTTTTTAATGAATGGCATGAATGTTATTACTGTCTCACATGCAACACAAACGCATATAATTACTTGCCTTTTTTCAGAAAAGGCAATACTACTACAATATGGTATGGTAAATGTACTGTACTTGTATATCATAATAATAATAATAGTACCCAAAGACGCTTTAGAGAACATTTCCGGTCGTTCGACCCGAAGCGCTGTAATTCTACATGTCATAACAGTGAGCGTGTGCATTCTTCCGGTTAAAATGGGTTAAAAAATGTAATGTCATGTAAATTTAAGTGTTTTACCCTCGGCTGCCTGCAGCACGCTGACCTCCAGGCCTTTGAAGGTTTTGCTGGCCAGCTCCTCCAGCGCGCAGAGCGGGGAGGTCTGGCTGAGCAGCGCCCGGCCTGAGAGCAGCCTCTCTCCGGAGAAGTGTTGCGGCGTGCCGCTCAGGGAGCAGCTCCTCCTCACCGGTGGCTTGTTGAGGATGTCCTCGATGCCGAAAGGCGTCAGCGGCTTGTTGGAGTTGGCCGGCGGCGGCAGCTGGTCCAGCGGACTGCGCCTCCGCACGTCCAGCACCGCTGGAAAGTTAGAGTCGTCCCTGGAGGTCATGGCAGCCTCACGCCGTGGCGTTGTGACACCTGACCGATCGGTTATTCTCTTGAGACGCAGATAGTGCTGTGCTGGAGGCGGAAAAGGAGAGGCTACGCGGGGGCGGGGAGGGGGGGGGGTAAAGATGGTCCGCAGCTCGGATCACAGGTGCGTCTCTAGCCGCACGTCGCCCGCGGAGCTCCAGGCTACACGGACACTTCTGACTCGCAGTCCCTCCGCGTCTCTGAGGCACTTTTTTAGAGTGACGAATGGCGAAGTGTGTACCGAACCCATCCCAGTGGCAGGCCGATGCACCAAAGTGCAGCGATTGACCACCAGTCCACAGGTTATTGTTGACTGGAAGGCACTCAATTACTATCTCACGCTCCCCCTTCGCTCTCTCTCTCTCTCTCTCTCGCGCTCTCTCTCTCTCTCTCTCTCTCGCGCTCTGTAGCAAATAACTGGGAGCGTTAATTAGAGGGTCACCGCGGAGAGGAGGGAGGAGTCCAATTAGAAAGTGGAATGGGCCCACTTAACACTTTCTCTCTCCTAAATTAGATAATTTGTCACAAAAAACAACCTAATGTTTTCCCTCCACGTGGTGTCATTGTCATTTGCATATGCACGCTGCGTACATAATTGGAACCGCGTTCGATCACATATATATATATATATATATATATATATATATATATATATATATGTATAGAGAGAGAGAGAGATGTAATGTAATGTAATATGAGTATGTATGAGTAGTATATATGTGTATATATATCTAGGATATATACATTACATTACATTACATGTCGTTTGGAATTCCATCAACTTCATTAACCATCTGAACCCCCCAAAACCGTTGGCGGGGTTGAAAATCCAAAGCGACACAGTGCATATATACCATCACCCGGCCTCAGCTCCCCTCCGTAAAGCATGAACGCTGCTAGGAGCGAGGAGGGAAATTCACCTCTTTCCCATAACTTCAACCCGACAAAATACAGAGGCGGAATAAGCAAGCATTAAACACGAATCTGTTTTGTGCATGTATATAAAATACTGAAATCATGAATCAGAATTGACCCGTTTCTTTATCGACATATTGGATGTTGTCTCAGAACAATTCAATTCAGTCTTTTTTCCGTGAAAATTCAGATCCCCCGTTTGCGTCTTTTGCCTAAATAGTTATAATATATATTAAATAAAAGGAAATATTTAATGTTATTAAGGAGTCTTTTAAACAGTACGTATTGCAACCCTGCGGTCGAAGCCAGTGAAGGGGCTGAGGAGGGACTGCGGAGGCGGAGGGAATCTTAAACAGTTGCTACAGTGTATTATTACTAGTATGGTACAACATGGTCGCTTATTACTAAATATGTAAACAGAACCTTGTATAGCGGCACTACAATAGTTTACTTACAATGTATTCCATGACGTCAGATTTAATTTGATCTGTTTTCAAGTAAAGAAAAATACACAATTGAAATATCATTTTGTGACACTTATTTTTACCAACAGTATTATGATTAGTTTAGAGCACAATATCCCTTTTCAATCACACATTCACATTTCTAATGATTAATAACAATAATCATAAGCACATCACATAGTACAATTTAGAATTGAATTAAAGCAAACAATGACCTATTAGAGTAACGTATAACACATAATAACTAATTATAATGCATTATATTGTAGTGTATGAAAAAAATTGGAATTTCCTTTTGAAAAAAAAACATTTCATTGAGTTGTAAATGACAACATCCTTTGCAATGAATAAGGATTATAACTCAGTGTGAATGTGCTTTTGACAATAATTATACCGTGCAATGAATATAACACATGTCTTTGCGTTGATAAAAAAAACTCACGGGTGACAGTTTTAATCGTCTTATTTCCAAGGAAGTATGAACTTTCAATCACATTTATATTTATATATATATCATCATTTTGGTATATGGAAAAGTGATAATAAAAAGGTGTTAATGCATCTATAACAGTAATCCTACATATAGGGATGGATGGATGGAGATGGACCGACTGACAAATGGATACAAAAACATATTTACATTATTCCATGAGTTGCCTCAATATCTAGGAGCAGGCCATAAAAAGGGTGGATGAGTGATTAGGGGAGTTTAGGGAGGCCATCTGCAATCACAGCCTTTTGGAGCTCTGACAAAGTCCTCGGACAGTTTTATTTTGTAATTTACTCCTGTTTTGGTCATACTGTGACATTTGATTACACGCCCAGTCTTGGATCTTTTTACAGCGGGCCTCCCGCCTCCACACCTCGCCCCCTTCTCCGCCACCGAGCTCAACATTGACGTGGACGGATGTGATCTCTTCATCTGATACCCACTCCCAAATGGAGAAACACTCACTTTTCCACGTGGGTTTTAATCCCATCTTTGGGAAGTGCAAAGCGCCAACCCGGTGCCCCCCCATAGGCACTCCGCTGTAAATACGGAACCCTGTGGCTGCACAGCCCCCACTGATCCTGTTAACATTAAAGAGCTGCCCAGATCTCTAAAAAGAAAACAGCCTGTCCCCCCCTCGTGCTAAATTATGTTAGTTCAGTTGTTGGGTAACGTAAAGTTATTACTGAAAAATGGACTTCAGCTAAATCTCATCCTTTCTGCATTCATATTAAATTATAGGGAATGAACGATGGTGTATCACACTGATACTCGTGGATTAACTGACTGCGTGGACCGTTCATCCAGAGGACAGCAGCGTCAAGAAGACCCCTTCTTGTCCTCTCTAACTGTCAAACCTCTGTTTGGTCAATCGTACAATAGTATGTAGTATCATACACGTCCATACACATCTATTTGCATATGTGGATCCTGTACTGTAAAAAAAAAGATCCTAATTTGATCGAAAATAACTTTACAGTAGTTTTTCTGTTTTTTCAGTGGCGGCGGTGGCGCACGGAGAGAGGGAGCACTGGGAACTGCAAGGTCGGCAGTTCAAACCCAGGCTGCTCTATGTCCTGTGTTGAAGTGTCCCTGAGCAAAACATGAACCCCTAATTACTCCCCGGGCAAAATGAAAAAAACATGGGTTAAAAAAGAAATGCAGTGTAAGTTTTGGGCGCTTTGGATAAAAGTGTCAGCTAAATGACATAACATGTAATGTAATTTTAAATGATGTACAAAACTCTAAAGATACTATCTGTAAATTAACTGTCTATCTCTAAATTTAGGTACTATACTAATAGACAAAATTGACTTTTTTTTTTACAGAAGACAGGCTGTAATTGTTCTAGAGTATTTCACTGTTTTCTTAAATTACATTCAAATCATGTAAAATAACGATAATTACCTCATTATATAAAGGTTTATGTCCATACTAACAATTTAGCTATTTTATTTGTAATTTTAAGGTAAATCATGTTAGTTTTTATATAAGGCTGTCAACATTAATGCATTAATCCATGCGATTATTGCAACAAAATATTTAAACGTAGTTAACGTTTGTTTGTTTACTTCCGGTCCCCAAGGTAAACTGGAAGTTGACCGCGGAAACGAAACGGCCGCTAGCTGCAGACAGTTACAGTTAAAGTCAAACAGTCAGTATACAATCAGCTGAGGCCGATTGCCTCCACCTGGCACCATTCCCTGAGCCACTCCCCCTCTCCCCCCCTGCAGACAAGCCAAAACCACGCCCGCCACCACACTAACGCTGGACTATGAAAAAGCTACATAACGGTCAAATTACTTCATGTCCCTAATACTAAACCAAAGGAGGACCTTTGTCCTGGGTATGTATAGTTGTCTCATGTATGCACTGCAGGAAACTCCCGTATTCTAAACATGTAACATCTTCAGGATTAACAGCTGTGATATTGGCTGGCATAATTCATTCACAACAAAACAAACATTCTGTCGACAGACCTAATTTCAAGCATCAGACTATAAACCCCTAAAAAAGAAACCATTAACTTTTGGACGAACAGACAGGAAGTGCAAAAATATTTAGGACTCACTCATGCAGCACTGCTGGTCTGCCAGTCCACTCATTTTTGGCATGTCTAGTTCACACATGTTATGGTAACAGGGCATCAATAATACACAATCTAATTCATCATCTCAGGATGATGAATTTGTCATGTCCTGTTACTATCAGGGCGACTGTACACCTGCACACATAAATTGAAATCCAATGAGTAGCTTGCCGTGAAATGTCATGTCATTGTCATGCTCTCAAGGGGGTTTGCCCTTTTCATTTTGTTGCGTCATAGGTCAAATATCCATTTGTCACAAGGACATCCCCAGATCTGGGGAGTTTTTGTCAAGGGATACATCTAAAAGGAATGCTAAATTGCCACGAGTGCTTTTCAAACTTGAGTCAATAGGTTTCTAATTTTATTCACCGCAGACTCACTTTGCACTCATGGCCCTTCCCGCCTTATTTACAAATATTTCACTTTAAAAAACAACACCTGAAAGTTTGACAATGTTTATGTTCTCAGAGTTGGAGTTTTAATATACATTGATTTGTTTGATTTGGGTATTTGCTTTAACCTTGACTTTTTTGGTACACTTTAAGTAGCTGGACATAAGAAAAAGAAACGAAAAGAATGTCATGCGTAAAAAGAAGCAGATGATTCCCAACAACTGAATGAATAAATGTTTCCTTAGATAAACTAATACAGATATCAACATTGGCTACATTTTCTGACTCTGGCAGCCAAGCTAATGATCGAGCCCAGGGTGCAAGGATAGTCATGTGATCAGCCTTGCTCTAGCAGACCGCTGTCTTCACTGACTGTGGGCCGTGACTAAAGTGATTTATTCATTACTGTTGACTGATGACGATTGTGCTGTGAGTTCATTAATAGGGAGCGGTGCCACTCTGACCTCCTACCTCCTTCCCCCCGTCCAGCTGCCGACTGTAACAAATCGCCACTTTGAGGAGAACAAAGTTGTTTCTGCAATTTCAATTGTGAGTTTCTTCAGACCTCAGCCTGTGCGGCTTAATTTGGAAGGCGAGGACACGGTTCTTTATTTATGGGGGAAGACCTCATGGAACTCTTAAAACAGCACGGGAAGGATTTGAAAATGAGAAACATTTTTAAATGAATAGCGACCCTAAAATCCTGAAAATTAGTTCTTTATTTTTTAATTAAAATTGTAGCAAATATTATTTTTATTAGTATGTGTGCAACATTGAACATAAATATTTTTTCCTGTCAATGATTTACAAAAATATTTTCATGGTGAAAACCATTCATTTTCTGATGATCATTTACAGCTTTTTAAAGTAAGAAAAATGTTTTCTTTTTCCGTATACATTTTTCCATCCGACTAAATGTGTTATATATTCAGTCACTATGAACAAACTGAATGACTGTTTTTCATAAGTTTGTATAACAGGGCCATGCA